TTATGATCTTTCCAAAAGGTGAGCATGTCATTAAAATAAGCTTTTGTAAGCAGCTATTGCATAAAAGCAATTTGTGGTAAATGGACTGAAGTGGTAAATTCAGCCACAGTTTTAAGACTTGTGTTATATATGAATGCTAATTGCATATTAAAGGGATCCAAAACTAATTGATATATTTATCAAATTTAAATACTGCACTATAACATAATTTTTGGTTATTCCTTCTCTGAGTTAAAATGTAATTTTACATTTATATTTTAAGCAAAAATCATCTGCTTAAATGGCTTTTAAAGAAGCCACTGCTTTGAAAGATTCTGGTAAGCTATTACACTTTTATGACTGAGATAAAGGATTTGTCAGGCTTGCTGGGGCTGTCACACAGCAAGGATGGTTCTATGGACGGCAAATGATACCACTTATCCTGAGTGATCTGGTATAGCCAAGGTGAAACAATTCTTTTAATTTTTTTCTTTTAAAGAGAAGATAACAAAAAAACCAATAATATAGAATTGCAATACAAGATAATAGGAGATTAACAATGGTTAATATATTGTGTATTGATATGTTCAGAGTAATTGCTCAGATTACAAGGTACAGGCATGCATAACTGATCAGACCATATAAGCACAAACTGTTTTTTTCAATGAACTAAAACAAGTCAGCAGTATAGCTATCTTATATATTTTTTTATTTTTCCTTTTCTTTTCTCCTTTCATCCATCCCAGTTGTTCTTTCTTTTTGAGCTGTTTCTCACACACAACTTAAAGCAAACAAAATGTCTTCAACTTCCAGTTTAAATGTTTCCTTAACCACAGGTAAAGTTACCTGATTGATTCTCTATTTTTTCTCAAAAAATTATTAACTAAGAATTAAATGTAAAGATTAAAACTAGAAAGAAAAAGCACATTACAAGCAGAAATTTTTTTGTAGCTTAAGATTGTACTTATGATATCAAAAGACACTCCTCCTGAAGTTTTGGTTGTGTAATGATTTTATTTCTTGAATGTGAAAAAATAATTTTATTGAAAAGAAATGAATTTTCTACCTCATGACACTCTCTTTATTATATATGCTAAGTAAATAAAATAAAATCAGTAAATATGTAATCTGTTAAATGTCAAAGAAAATAAATACAGAAAAACAACAATTTGGTTTTATATAAATATTGAAAATTTCTGAATTTTAAATCAACCATATTAAAAGGAATACGTCATTTGTGAAAATGTGCTTACAAGACTTGTGATGGAAAAAAGACAAATACTACACTTGCATATTTACCATTAAATTCTAAAAAAATATAAAAGCATTTCTTAATATACAAGATAAACAATACAAAATAGTTGAAAACAGTAGACATTGACAAGATTTTTGAAAAATATTCAGTGTTACTTCCTATAATAAGAAAAATGTAACCTAGTACTAATAGAGTTTTCTTTTTTTTGTTTGTTTTGTTTTTCTCCCGTACCGGGAACCGACTCACAACCTTGCGCTTGCCAGGCAGGCGCTTTTGCCGCTGAGCTAAATCCCCATCCCCTACTAATAGAGTTTTCTACAGAGGAAAACAAGTAATATTTTAAATTAGAAGAAAATAGTTATAAAACCACTGGCCAAATGGTTATGTTCAAACTTTGATTCTGCCTTTGTAAATAGAAAAGAATGTTTCTGAAGGTTATTTGGAAATCTTAATCAAATGTTAGGAAGGTTTACACTCAGCAATAATTTCCATTTTCTTTTCTGGAATGCACACAAAAGACATCATAGGGTACATATTAAAATGTGTGTACATATATGTATATGACCTCGTTAGATACACCAGCAGAAAATAAGCAATCAAAAAAGACATTCTGAAAAATGTTAATACTAGTGTATGATGGGTATATACAGATGTATCAATAAGAAAAACTGTTGTGGAATGACTCAATAAGATTATATGAACCATATTATCTGTTTGTGGTCTGCAGTGCTTTATTTCTGTACCTACAGAATGAAAAGATCAATATTTCATTGGGCAGAAGTCCTCATTTATTTCTTTTCTTTGTTTTCAACTTTGAATAACAAAATCAATTGCTTAAAAAATTTTTGAAAATCATTACTCTATAAAGATAACTATAGAAACTATTATAACAAAGTGGGGAAAGGCAGTTTTTTAATTACATGTAAATATACTATACACAAATTTTCACATGTATAAACCATAAAACAACAAATATACTCTATTTTTTTCCTTTCTTTGAGATAAGGTCTTGCTATGTAGTTCAGGCTGGCCTTGAACTTGATCCTCCTGCTTCAGCCTCCCAAGTGCTGGGATTATTGGCATGTGCCACAGGTTTATGTACTCTATATTGATCAATTAGTTTTTCTTGTGGTGGTGAGTTAATGCTTTATTTATATTTTTACTTTTTTGTCTTCTTTTTTTTTTAAAAAAGTATAGATTTAATGACTAAACTTAAAGCTGTAATCTTTCTGCAATAAATAAAAGCATAAACTGCAAACATTACACAGTGTCACATTATATATTGTCAGAAACCTCTAAAACTGACTTCAGTGACTTACCATTTGATTATTAAATTTAAACAATAAACTGCAAAAATATTACAAAGCCTTTTGGAACTGCCTAAATCTTTGTTAAGGGCCCAGAAAGTCTTTTGAGGTACAAGTTAGAAAATAAACAGCAGTCTTTAAACCAGTGACTTTAGAATAAAAAAGTCCGGTACAAGTCGCAGTTTAACTGTTTATGCTGCAATCTCGGGAAGATTTTTGACTGTCCTGAACCTCATCCTAAGAACGTTAGAATTTCTTCATCTCTAAAGCTGAAATTGCAAAAACATTGAGTTCCTTGAGAATATCTTCCCAGTCAGAAAAGGCGTAAAGTCCTAGCTCCATGCCTTACGGTCTGCCTCACTTTAAATGCCAGTGCTTATCACTGGGGAAAGAGTCTAGCTGCATTACAGAGCTGGCCCTGGCATCAATGGAACATTATTGTGAAAGTCCTTCCTTAGCTGTTCAGTTGAGTGCTTGGAAACAGGAAAACGAGGCCAGAGTCATGACAAATGAATTGTTGAAGCAAGGAAAGACTTAACTCCAACATCCTTGTTGGAGATCTCCTGGGCCGGGGAAGAGGAAGGCCAGAAAGTACTGGCACAACAATGATCGTGTTGGTTCAGAACAAGAGGAAGTTAGGGCATCCTGGAAAGAAATGAGGTCAGAAGTGAGGTAGGAAAAACAAGCACTGCGGAAGAACTTCACCGCAGTCCGCAGAGAGAAGGTGCCAGCCTTTCAGTCTTTGCCTTCCTCATAAGGAAGGAGAATTTCCAGTTCTCAGTCAAGTCCAAATTTCTTTTCGTACTTTGTGGTCTTCCGTGTTCTACATTTTCCACCTTCCTTTCCAGCGACCTCGCTCATCACTACCCTTACTTTCGCCGTGATACAGTCGCATCAATCGTGGTCATTCTCCACCTTCCCGCTCCCAGTGTGACCGCCTGTCTTCTGTCTCCAGTCCCTCCCTCGCCTTCTCCACCAAGGCTCCACTCTCCATCCGCTCGCTTAGACAGTAGCACTTGCTGGTTCTGTCCCATCCAAATTCTCAGGTTTCTCAAAACCATACTGACTTCCAAAATATAAAATGTATTGGCTTGCTGTTTGGCTTCCCCAAAATTATCTCACAGTTTTCATTTCATGTCCCCACATTTTCATCTATAAGCTTCTCACCTCATTCTCAGTATTTCCACATTTTACTCAAATACTGTCATATCAAACTCCTGACCACCTCATTGGATCCTGTTCTGTCTCTATACTGGACTTCTACACATCATTTACATCAGCCATTTAAAAGTTAAATTCTGGAGTAATCTACTTCATAATGCAGTTGTGTTGTTGTTTTGAGACTGGGTCTTGCTATAGAGTCCTGAATGCTCCTGAGCTCACTAATGATCTTGGTGATCCTCTTGCCCCGATCTCCTGAGGGCTGGAATTACAAGCGAGGGCCACCATGCATGGCTACTTGTTAAATATGTATGTAGATTTTTATTGCCTCTGTGAAATCTTCTGTACTGTACTTACATCCTTCATTTCTGTAACACTTAATCACCAACCATATTCTGAAGAATGCTAGTCTGCTAGCTTCTCCCTGCAATTCACCTTTTATTATCCCTTCTCTGCAAATTCTTTCTCCTAGCCTCCTTATAGCTCTTTTCATAGCATTAATAGACACTCTTTTCATCTCTTTTACATCCAAGAAAGACCAGAATTTGGACCTTGATATCCCTGGCAAAACCATAACTCATGTTCTAACCATCTCAACTTGAGGAAGGTAGCTCTTCCTCATTGCCGCTTTTATCTGGAAGCTAGAGGAGGGGACAGAACTGTTTTCCACTTCAGTATCCCAGTTACTTTTTGCATCCACTTTATCCAAGTGCCTCCCTGCATGGAAGCCTCTGTCCTCCCATACTTGTCCTTCTCAGGTTCACTACTCCTGTCTCCTGACCCACAGTCTCTAGTGCTACCCTGTTTCCCGTTTCTTCTCCATCCTACCTTCAAACCCGTTGTTATGGTTTATGTCTGGGTGTCCCCCCAAAGCCTCATGCAGTCACGGGGCAGGCTTTTAAAGTTTGATTAAGGGTGTAAGAGCTGCACCCGCCCTGGGGTGGATAGTTTGCATATCTAAGGCAGAGGAAGAGAGTGCTTGAGGCCATTCCACCCCCATTCCTCCCTGGTGTATGCTGGTTGCTTAGCTGTGTTCTGCCGCCATGAGCTGTAGCTCTCTACCATGTGCCACTCTGCCTTATAATCTGCCAAGTACGGACTGAAACCTCCACAAACTGTAAGCGAAATAAACCTTTCCTTCCTTCATTTTGGGCATCAGGTATTTTGTCCCAGCAGCGAGAGAAAAGTAACCAAGACACCCGTCAGGACCCTGGGCCCCATCAGTGTGCGCACACAAAGGCTCCCTGGAAACTTCTGACCTCCATGACTAAAACAGCCTCAGGTCACCCAAAGCCTCCTGTCACCATCATCAAGAGTCACCTTATCTTTCAAATTACTCAAACCTGAAATCCCCTTTCTGCTCAAACATTTACTGGCAGGTACCTCTGTATTTTCTTATTACTTCCAGATACTCATAACAGCTGTTAAAGTTTAGTTAAGAAAAAATGAAACATTCTTATTATTGGTATGGTAGTAAGTAAAAGGCAGAATGAATTGAAAATTGTGGTCTAATTGCACTGGATTTAGTAAATCTAAAAATAGTGGGACTTCTATAAAGTTATTCTGGTTTGTTTCGAGCATAGGGTGATACTTTTTATTCTACTAGATATTTCTTTTTCTCATCCCTTCCCTTGAGGTCTTATGTAAGTTTACCTTACATGCCTTTTAAGTTTGTAAAATTTACTTTCCCCGCCCTCACATTCCCTAACATTACTTACATTCCCTAATATGCACTTTCTGTAACAATTATCCAAAACTTCAATATTTTGCACAAGGTATAGGCAGTAATATAACATGGTATATTTGAAATAGAATGGAATGGTAATATAATTTTTGAAATAGAATAAATTCTGATGTTGGGAGACCCAAGTCTCTCCTTACTTGTTAGTTGATACATGGCCTTTATGGATATTAATTTACTTAAATTATGAGAGGTTTGATTTCCTTATGTATAATAGACAAGTTAACACTTATTTTCCCTTTATTGTATGGTTCTTGTGTATAGCAAATAGAATAATTTTAAGATTTTAAACACTGTGGAAAACTAAGTCAATAAATGAATATATTCTATTCTGCTGATGAATGGCTGGTATACTATGTTTTTAAAAATAGTGTCTGCTAAATGGATCATAACTATAATTTTATTGTTAAATAAGGACACACAGTTATTAGATTTAGTCAAAAAATATCAATTATGATATCAAGACAAAGGAAGAGATATTTCTGATAAAAATTTCCTTATCCATCAAAATGTACAGTCTTTCATAAAGAACTCACTGAGGTAAAATGGGTAGGATTTAGTTGTCAGGGTTGAATTTTATTCCACTTTTGAGATATGTCTGGGGCTGGTCTCAGTGGCAAGATTAGTGGAACAGGAGAGTGGTTTTGTAAGTATTATTTAGACAATATTTGCAGGAACATCCTACTTACAAAGACATTCCCATATTGGATAAAGTAATGTTTTATTTTAGACATTATTGTGAAGGTAAATGATTTAGTGGCAATGTGATTCCGGAATTTTTTATATCTCTACTTTTTCTATACATGCTTCATGTTTGTATAATTACCTTGAATGGTTAAAGTATTTTAATGGTATTTTATATAAAAACTCTTACTCTTGGGTAAGACTATGCATTACATTTTGAGCTCTTGGACTGCTTCAAAGAGTGTCCCATAGATCACCAGTAATTCTCACTGGAACTTTGTTTAAAAAGGAGAATCTTAGGATGTACCACAGTGAAATCTGGACCTGAATTTTAACCATAAATAATTAAATTTTAAGAAGGAATGTTTTAGTCACTATTAGGTGAAAACATCAGATAGTACAGGATTTCTTCAAACCTCTCCTTTCTGCTAAGCTCTGATGCCCCACCCCAAATCTCTTACTGCTCTCTATTAGAAATTTTGTCTTTTCCCCCTCACATATTTCCTATACAAATTAAAGAGTTTAACAAATTTTCAAAAGTTTCCAAGGTCGTTTTCAAATATTGGATATTCCTAAAATTGCACTCTTGTGTTTTTTCCAATCATTTAAGAAGTAGATGTCAGTGAACATACAGGAACAGCAAGCCACAGCCATCTACCCTAAATTACACAGCTGGTGAGTGAGAGTTTGGATATAAATTTATAACTGGACGCCAGGGCCTCACATTATTACGGCCCCATTAGATCCCATCACTTACACTTTGGGTTTTGTTTCAGTTCTCTAGACATCTGTTAGCAAGATTCCAATGCAACATGAAACTAATTGCAAATCCCAAATATCAGTGCTAGTATAAATTCATACTAGACAAAAATTTCCTGAAAATAGCTCTGTTTTGGCTTCTGTGTTTCTGGATACCAAAATTCTATTCATACAATCCTCAAGAACAGATACAAAAATCCATTACGAGCCCTCTCAAAAGTTCCAAGGAATGCATGGGTTTCTACAAAAAAGCAAAACTATCTTTCACATTCACATTTCTCAGCATTTCTTGAAAGTTCACCACGGCTTACTGCACAATGAAAGAATATTTTTTCTGGAAGACTCAGCAATCATCAGTCTTTAAGCTCATGTCCTCAGAGAACTCTGAAGAGCTACCTCTAAAGCTTCTTGCTCTGCTTCATACAAAATGAGTCCCTCAAAGCAGGCGTAAGTATGGAGTGGAAAATAAAACAGTAACATACATAATATTGCAGAGTAAACTTTACTTCTAAGCTAGGTGTTTTACAAAACCTAAATATATTGTTAAAGAACATTGTCATATCCTTTCATTTTTGTACAAATGAATTTTAATGAGTATAAATCAGAAAAGATATATTTTTCCATTATCTCAAAGTGGGAAAACAAAGAAACTTTCTATTTGGATGTCCCTCATGAGCTCTATTTCCACTTCTGTTCAGGGAATCTGTCGGGTTTCTAAAAGCAGTTGTGTGACATGAGTATAGGTAACCGTGCCCTTGTATGTTTAGAGAAGCCCTGATCTAGGTCTGTTATTCTACCCTAATGATTAAGAGTAGACCCATTCTTATCAGAAGTGTTCACTGCTGAATGACCAGTTATGTTTGACATATACTAGGTAGTTGATATCGACATTTAGATAATAATTTGACATTGTCTTTATTCCTGAGGCAAAGGCTCATCTGAATACAAATGCTCTAAATATATACTTTACATTTGAGCTTTGCTGCTGCTTGGAATTAGCCAACTTTAATTGATAAGAAAATGATTAAGATATACCAAGTAAACTTATTAAAATCTTGTAGACTTACAATGGATATACAAAACCATGTTTTTTTATATATTAAAGTGCATAGTTATATTATGCAATGACAAAATTAGACAACTCTAATGTATATCTTTTAGAGTAATCTTTACCACTAAGGAATTGTAGATGGATTATATAGATATAGATTATAGATAGGGAAACTTGCATTTTGAGTACATGAGAATTCCCAAAACAGAGAGATAAATTCACTAGAGGTGGCTTATCTTACCTTTAAGTCTGATTGATCCCCTTACTATTACACTTGTAGCCAAGCGAGCTTCTCTTGGGTGAGCCCCAGTCTCAGCTGCCCATGCATACTCCAGAGGTCCTGTTCAGATCTCTGTTTTTAGACTACTGTGACTTAGAAAAACTATTTGTTTTTCACATATGAGTTGCCCACATACTCTTAGTTATTTTTTTACCACTAGCACCTTCTCCAGTTTTCCACCTCTCTGAATAAGTACAATAAATAAATAATAAATGAACACTCGCAATCAAAGTAGATTTTCATGGAGCATGACTCTGAATTGAGAGTAAGGTAAAATCAGCCATCTTGGATAGACACCTGAGACAAGATGAATCATGGTATTATAGTCCAGCCGATGATGCTTGTCCTTAGCCCCTGAACATATTTCAGTAAATTGTCTAAACTGATGTGAATCAGCCATCAGTAAAGATAATCTCCATGGAGAACACTAATGCAGAAAAATACAATCTCTTCTGAACCCCAATATGGAGACTCCAAATCACTTTGAAATTTCTTTTAACTCAGAAAAACTCCTGTCACATGTCAATATGTTGTAAATATTATTACATTTTTAAAAGTTAAAATATATAATTGTCTTTTGTAAAAAGGCAAAATAACAATTATAATAATATCTATTTTAATGCTATCTATATACGATTATTTTTAACATAAACATTTTTTTCTAAGATGTGTAAAGCTAGTTAATTCTAAGAGTAAAATTTGGGACTAGTAAGAGGAGGTTTTCTTTTCACTCTACCTTTATTTTAAAAGATGGAAAATTAGAAGTATGTATTTTTTACTAAAACCTTTTAAATTGTAATTTGTGAATAATTATTAATTTTAATTAAACAATATAGTCGCTAAATAAATACTGTCATAAACAGTAGACCTAAAACAAAGCAAACAAAAAATTTAGTGTAGCTGAAATACCGCCAAAATTTATAGAGTAATTGTATTTTCTTCTTATAAAAAACAGACCACATACTATGTAAAGAATCAAATTACTAGAAGAAAAAATAGCACTTTAACAGGTTAAACAAATGACAAATTATTTTGGTAGCCTAGTATATTGCTAAAATTTCAAGTCCTTAAGATTCTACTTTGTCCCAAGAATTTCCTGCACACAAATTTAATTTTTCAAGAATTTTTCCAGTGGTTATTAAACATAAAAATCAAGTTGTTATAATAATCGTAAATTTGTAAATTTTTGTCTTTTAATTTTTAATAATGTCACTCTGTTCCCTGTGTAATCTGTCATTGTGGCATGAATCAGTCTTTTGTTGCTAGCTTTCCTCATAGTTTCCTTGGAAAAGAATTAGGCAGAAAATTAATTTCCTATTTGAGAGAATTCTTAGAATTTAAATGAACCTACTGGTTGAAATAAAACCACAAAATTAGCATAGTACTTATCACTAGGTTTAAATAGGTGTGAAGAAGGGCACGCACTATCACCTTCAGCACCAACACAGCTCCCTGCCTCCCAGGCTTGGGTTCAAGGTATGTTTTTTACATTGGTAAAGTTGCTGTGATTTCACACACCTAATTTCCAACTCTCTATAAGGTGTATTTATAATTTTTCCATATGTTTAGAAAATATTGATGCATTCTTATATACTGGTAGTTTCCAAATTTTGATACCACCTAAAAGCACCGGGTGAAAATAGAGGTTTGTAAAGTCCAACTCTTTTTCTGATAATTCTGAAACAAAAATACCATATATTGAAAAAAGTAAATAAATAACTTCAGTAGTCTTGAGGTAAATTTGAGTTAGTTTTGTTGAATTCTATGGAAAGCTGTTATGCAAAAGAATTTCTGATTTTGATAATTGCCATAGCAAAGACCATTTTGGTAGAATATACAAAGGCCATTTTTATTCTGTGTTATTTACCTAATTACTTCTGTAATGTCTACATTAATGAAAAACCTGTAGATATAATGGCTATTTTTATAAAGGTGAGAAGCTATATGGAAGGGTAAGAAGAGAAAATATAGTGAATTAATTGGAAATTTAAAACACGTCTTCTTTCTTAATGCCTTCAGATGCTGTGCTTTGTGAACTGAAGCAGTGTGCAGCAGATAGTCCAGTATTCACTGGCTGACTAATGCATAAACACACCGCTTGTGTTAACTTGGCTCAGTTTTTCTCCTAAGGAAACTACTTTCTTTAAGATGTGTAACTATCAGTATTTCTGGGTTCTAAAAGTTTGACGGCACTGAAGCAATCAAATGTGAGGCATCTGAGTTTGAACCAATTCAGTCATCTTCAATAGTAGTGTTATAGACGTTCCAAAGTAGCACACTGTGAAGTGAGAACCAGATCCTTTCACAAATTAATTCATGGCAGTTTTTAGTGTCTACCTAAGGAACTGACAGTATCTTTCACAAAGAACAATCTACTTCAAACAGATTTATAAGGGAATTACTTTTTCAAAAATTTTCAGATAAGAGAAATACCAACTCTCAGTGAATTGTAGTTTTTTGCCCACTTTAACAAATCTCATGATCTGAAGGAAAAACATTGGTTTTCAAACTGTTTTTAAATATTGATTTTTTTCTTCCTTTAAGGAAGCCATTATTACCAAATTAAGACCAAACGTCTTATTTTAGAGTATTAATAAAAAAATTGCTTAAAAATTGGTATTTCAAAGTGATATAAAAACTAAGAAAAAGGACAAGAATGATAAATGTTTACTTTGAATACCAATATTTAGAACTACTTTTCAAATGAACCCGTTTTATCATAATTTGCCTCTTTGTGGAAAAATCAGGAATTTTTTATGAAAGAAATGTTATGGGACCAACTTTTTCCCCCTCACCCTCCACGTAGGACTCGGCAGCCATGAAGCTTCTCATCCTCGCCTGCCTGCTGGTTGCCGCTGCAGCCATGCCGGTAAGTACAGGAGAGAACCTCAAAGAGTCTACAGGCCATGTAGCAATGGCCCGGCAACCTCCCGGGACATGAGACCCTGTGAATGATGTCGTCATGCATTAGCTGATTTCTCATCAGCTGCTGAAGTCTTGACACTGGAACTGTGACGACAGTAATCCTTATGGAGTCCTCCAAAGTTGTAACCACCAAATGAAATGTCTGAATTGAAATATGAATGCCCCACAATGAAAAATTAAAAATATGGAAAGAAGCAAAGAAGAAGTAGAGTATTATATAACCTAACAAATAACATCAAGTAGTACAGTTAGGTTTGTTTCTCAAGTCCACTGTGGAATTAGCATATTTCTAAAAATGTTATAGGTATCCAATAGTTCTTTACCAGTATGACATAAAGCCACACAATCCTCTGCATTCTGTGTTTGGAACCAAAGTCAACCTTCATCTTGGCCAAAGGAAAGGAAACTCTTCTTCCAAAGAAAATAATGTGTTTGTTTATGCCACCGCTTAACTCTCCTTACATCTTTTTGTCATCTTTTCCATTTTGTTTTCGTTTTCTCCACCTTTCTTTTCTCCTTTCTTGGCTCCTTTCCTTTTGGCACTGGAGATTGAATTCAGCACCTTTTCCCCAAGATTTAGAGTCTTAGCTTGCTCTGTTTGTCTTTCATTCTTTATTTATTACTTTGAGACAGAGATTCACTAATTGCTAAGCTGCCTAAACTTGTCCAGAATTGCAATCCTCCTGCCTCAGCCTCTCAGAGTGTTGGGATTACACACGTGTACCACGATGCCTGGTTTATCCTTAAGGCATATCTCTGTAGTCAAAATGCAAATTGTCATTATTTTTACATAATTCGGTAGGTAATAAAAAAGAAATCCAAAGACTTAATTAAGAAAGTACATGTTACCCTCCAATTTTTTAAATGGTTTAAAATCATTTTAGGATTATTATGGAACAGAAATAGCTTAGAAAACTAAATAAGTTTCTTTTCATTTTGAATTAATAGAATAACTCAAGGCTTTTTATGGACTTTTTAAAATTACCTGTCATACCTTAAAGAAAGAAAATAAACACTTTTCCTTTGGTATTTGTCAATAAACTAATTAGCATTGTTTGTTCTCTTCCATCCCAGGGAAAATTGGTCTCTGGAAAATGTTCTATTATACACTTTTAAAAAATATAATGACAAAGTTAATTATATTCTATGTGTAGAGCTATACTGTTATTGCCACTTGATTGCTTTGGAGGTTGTTCCTATTTTATAATTCTTGGATTGTTTTCACAGAAATTTGCTTTTAGACATATGGAACTCTCTCAAGTAAGTATTCTACTCTGAATTTCAAGAATTCACGCTGGTCTTGGCCCCATGTGTCCATTTGCGACAACACAGAGCTCCCACATGCTTCTCCTTACCCCATGTGACAGCCTGCATCCCTTTGGCCGAGCTCAAGTACGGAGTTATTTACTTCTGTTCCGTACTGTGGACCTCTGCTTACTCTCACTGAAATGCTCAACTTCTTAAGATGAGAGTACACATAGACTTCTGTCCACTTTTCTATACTGATAAGAGAAGTGGTTAATTAAGCAGAAAATACTAAAAGTCTATTTTGAAGTATCATTGCTCTTTTCTGTTTTATATGCCCTCAATCATGGGATTTATAGTTTTGTCATTTTTTGCACTGATCCTTAAATTAGCTTTATCACACACTGCTACAAGGGCATTAATAATCCGTTCTGCCCAGTAACGCTATTTTTTGGTCTTACTGTTCTTTGCAGAACCAGCAAGACAGCAGCAGCAGCAGCGAGGTAAACCACGGGCACGGGCACTCGAGGTGTCTCCCCTTCCTACCTCTGCTCTTTGAATCATCAAGATCGAATGTCTCCTTTATCCTAGTTCTCACTGATTTTCGTGTGCTTGAATTACTCTCAGTTTCGTTTTCAGGAAATCTCTATTTAGTGTCTTTAGACACTTTGGTAGTCGTGGATTTGTTTCTAGGACGGGTGAAGAGAGAACTATTTAAGGTGTCTCCTTTAGATTTTAAAATTTTTATAAAATTAAAGAACGGACTTTTTTCCTTTTATCTGACAGTTCAACTAGTTTATCAAATTAAATGAAACACGTGTTGAAATGAAAAACACTTGTTCAGGTTTAGCATGTTTATCTTTTTTTCACATTTTAATGAGATATCATGCAATGCTTTGGTACATGCGTACATTATATGGTATTTTTATCACTCTTGTAATTCACAATTTAATTTTAATAGGAAATCCTTAAAGATGATAAGATTTCCAAATTTATTCAGGTAAGTGCCATCCATTTACTCTTAAAACACAAACTCACTTATTTAGGAAATTTAACTTAATTTTCAATAAAAATATTTTTGCTTGAATTGACTAAGCCTTTCCTTAATAAGAGCTGCTTTAAAGTTTAAATTATATCTAAATGTTTCCCTCTTTTCAAAACAAGTCCACTTTTCTGTGTGACATTAGAATTGTACAATTTCTATTTTCATTACACTGGGACATTCCTTATCTGTAACTAATAAAACACATTACATATGCCTGTGATTCTGTGACTTATTGAGTAAAATAATATCAAATTTTAATTTGAGGGGGCTGGGGATTTAGCTCAGCAGCAAAAGCGCCTGCCTAGCAAGCACAAGGTTGTGAGTTCGGTTCCCGGTACCGGAGAAAAACCAAAACCAAAAAAAAAAAGAAAAAATTTTAATTTGAGGCCATTATTTAAAAGATTTACTAGATAATCTAATTAGTCTGAATTAATTTTAACTTAACCTTTTTTATTCCCGCTGTGTGTAGCCTACATCAGTGGAATTTAGAAAGGTAAGAATGATTTCACAAGATCTATTATAGAATTAAAACAAGAGAGCAAGTGTTAAGATCAGAAAACCTCAGAACTGTGCATAAAACAAAATGAAAATCAGAGAAAACAAAACTAAGTGGAACAAAGTTTTAGAGTTTAAGTGTACATTTACGTACTGAGCGCTCAAGCAGAAAAGCATAGCAAACAAACAAGCTTAGAAATTATACAATAAGAAATATTGAGGCACACATAAAAATACATTTGTTTTTTCAATTTGCAACAGCATAATTTGAAGTACACTTTATAATAGCTTTCATTCATGTATGCCCTTTCAAACTAATGTTGTTTATCTCTCCTATCATTAAGCAATGCATCAATGAACTGAACAGGATATGAAACATCAAAGGAATCTGTGTTATTCTAGAAGTTTTTCCTTCTAAAAATACATTTCACAAGTTATACTTCTTTAATTTTAGCAGACAGAGCATCAGAGCGAAAGACAGAATGAGGAAATCAAGGTACCAAATTTTTTCTTAAAGTTAAGTCATAAGAGTATATATTCTTGAGTAAAAAACAATGTTTTTATTTGGAAAAAATTAATTTTAGGGCACTTATTCTTTCTCTGAACTTCTCAGACACACATTCAAAATGGCTAGTGAATTGTGCAGAGCATTCCAAGACAACTGGTTTTATTACCTTAACCATGTAGCTGTGATTAAGCAGGTGTTAGAGTGAATGAATGGACAGTAGGTAATTTTGTCTCAGCTGGCTGTACTATTCCTAAGGATAAAGGAACACTTAATCAAGGGTGTTTTATAGAACAATATATGTGACTGAATAACGTTTTACATAAACATACTTGATTTTTATTTCTTTAACATATTTTTGATCTGGATTGTCTAGTAATTTATAAATGGACTTCTACTAAGAGATTGCTTAGAATTTACAAAATTTAAAAGTATATCATCCTCACTATTCTTTGCACTGCCATCTTTTCTTGGCAGGAAACGAGCAGCGAGTCTACTGAGGTAAGGCTCTTTGTGTTAAAATCATTAAACCCAACATGAGGAAAGGTAATAACCAAGTGTTTCCTTTAAATATCTACAGCCAAATGAACAAAAATTCTTTTAAAACTACAATAAGGATCTTTAATTCAATGAAACAAAAAGTATACTGTATCATATATAGGGCAGTATTACCTAGATGACTAATCAAAACTAATTCCTTGAATTTAAATTCTATGAACATTATCACTACTCTGCATAGTGACACCACTGAAGATGACACCCTAGGGAAAGACTTTTGGATTCAGATTTTATACACCATTGAACCAATGCTTTTTTATGCAAACTTTTACTTACCCCATGGCCTTGAATCCAGTGCTGCTGCTTAATCTCCAAACGCCAAATTTTTAAAAAGAAGAAAAGCTCGTTTATATTGATTTACTACAACGTAGGAGAATTTAAAGTGATTTTTTAAAATTTTAATTGCAAATTAGGAAAGTAATCCTTCAGTTAGTTTAGATCAGAGTAGTCATGCTTTTGTGTTTTGCTGATTTCTTAGACATTGCCTTAAATTTTTACCATCCTCGGCTTCTATCTTATTTAGAAATCATTCATTTTGCATTTCGCTATTTTCCATGAAAATATAATTGCTCCTCTTTTCCTGAGGAACATATGGTCAATTCTGAGGTAAGACACTTTTATTCTAGTGACCTGCACACTTAGGTAGCTCACAAGGACCTGCAATATGCTTCATTTTTAAAAAGCTGTCTTATCAGATTAAGCAGGGTAAAAGATTAAATTTTAAAATGCTTTACTTACTGAACTTTCAAAGATTTATTATATCTGCAAATGTAAAATGTAGTGCCAAAGTTAAAATTGGAAGAGGAATTTAAACAATAATCAGTGAAAACATTACTTATTAAAATGGAGGGTAAAAACCTTATATCTGACAACCTCAACAAAGGACTCACATGTTCTTCCATTGAGAGCAGAAAGAATCTACACAACAGTCATGAAAGACCCATGGACCATACAGTCTACTGTAAATGTGGGGGAGAAATATGTCAGTCTACCGCATATAGTTAATAAGCTCTCTGTGTAGATGAATATTAAAATCAATCTTAAAATGTTCTTGGTAGCAAAAATTATAACTCTATGTAAATATAAACATATGACTTAAAAGAAGTAATTATTTCAAGTGGTAGATGTCTTGAAACCTAATGTAACTTTATTTTTATCTTGAAATTGTTAGATTTAGTACTTTTAATTTATTCAAATCAAAATAGTCCCAAGGGAGATGAGAATGAACACCTAACATCACAAAAACTTTTACAAATTTTGCATTCTATATAGTGATATTTCTGTGTTTAATGAATTAAAAATGGCTTTGAATTTTAAGTTCTCTGGTAAGCTGTTAAACTCTCCCTCCCTACATTTTTCAAGTGAAATTGACACTTGGAGAAAATGCATCAGATTGGCCTTGAATGTTTTCACATAATTCATTTCAATTCTAATTCTCTCAGGTATAAACAATCTATATGAATGTATGGTATTAAGTTTCCTTCAGAGCATTCTAAAAGTTCCACAAAAAGTCATAACACTGGTTTTGTTTCTCTTAGCAGATAAAATCTACCAGCAGTTCACCAAGCGAGGTAAAAGAATTTGATATTAATTCGGAGTCCCAATTAACTAGAAGACATTTATAAAAACTTATGAGGGTTACATACTCTATGAGGTCTCACTGTACCAGGTACTATGTATTCAACATTATCCTAACTTTAGTATCCGATTATCAGCTCAGAAAAAAAAAGGTCAGCAACTTTTCATCAATAACAAACTTACAGAATTATTTTGGGGCAAACAATCCCTTCTGGCCATGTATGATATTGTTTTTGTTCTTTTCTCCTTCTTAGTTTGTCTTTCCCAGATTTTACATGAATACAACCTTACCATTAAAAATTCCAACAATGATTATACTTCTGATCATTGATGTATAAACTTTATATTGTGTAAAAATAAACCAATTCTAGCCATACCTAAGCATAGACTCCTCTAAAGATTGATCATTCTTTCCACTTAGTAGTCTAGAGAAAAAAGGGAGCAGGCCTACCAGGTGATAAGTTCCTTTTTGATGCTGGAAGCAAGCTTTTCACACAAATTACAAAAATAAACCAAATCCGCCAAGGTGGATGGATCTTCATAAAACCAATATGTTTGCATCAAACCAAGGTTTTTACTTGCTAAACCTCCACCATTTTGAGTAACATCCTGGTGAAAGCAGGAGCAGAGAAAAGGCAGCATAAATATAACAAGTGGAACAAGCTATTAACCTCATCTCAGTTATTCAGGAACCTATGACTCAATTCAGTTTACTTCAGTTATTCCACGCTAGGAGCTAGTGCATTAGTATTCGTACCTAAAATGTGAATTAAGAAATCATAATATTAGGGGCTGGGGATTTAGCTCAGCGGCAAAAGCGCCTGCCTGGCAAGCGCAAGGTCGTGAGTTCAGTTCCCGGTACCGGAGAAAAACCAA